GTCAATGTTGAATGGAATGTTTCGTCATGTATGAAATGTGGATAATGCGGAAATGCAACATTGAAGAGGGGGAGTGGGGGATACGCGTGTATATAAAGTCAAGTTTCAACTGTTCGTTCGGATCTAGTTTTCCAAAACTGAATAAGTGTCCGATGAGTTTTGATCTAGACTGCAGTCCCTACTCTATGGTGAACTTAATATGTGAGTCAATGGAATTGAGTAAATTATAAAAATTTATTTAACTCATGCTTTTTCGAAAAATATCGATATCATCGACATGACGAAATCATTTCTTAATATAGGCGGTGATGTAGATTGGTTATGTGTGAACCAGTGCCGGATTAACCATATGGCAGAAGCGGCATATGCCACGGGCCCCGCGCATTTGGAGGCCCCGCGCTTCTCTCTTCTATTTCTTTTTCTGAATTTTTTGTTCCCTGTTTCAGCGCGGGGCCCAAACTGTGCGCTCGAAAGAGCCCAAGTCCCCCAGAAAACTCGAGGACGCAAAAATCGACCCCAAACGGTTTTCTTTTTGTTCCCTGTTTTAGTGTTTCAGCGCCGGGCCCCAAAGAGCCCAAGATTGCTCATGGAGCTACATTGGCGAAACTGGCAGAGCATTCAACACTAGGGCGAAAGGAACACAGGAGAAATGTATAGCTCTGTATATATAGCTATTAAAGTGGTCCAAATATCACTAACCACGTTTAGACAAACATGCAACCATGAAAATAGATTAATTTCCAAAGGCAACTATCGACACAGAGAAACACTTGAATCATATGACGCACTGCATGCACAAGAAACTCTGACAACAATTCAAAACATTTACCGGAACTATATACCGCTTTTCACTTAGCAAAAAACTTTGAATCCTGTTATTTTGTATCTACCCGTTGAAGACTGCAGACTGGCAGTCGAAAGCTCGTACTAAATAATATTTAAAACCCTGTTTTCGCTTCAAACATATTCAAAGCCCCGAAAATGTTGCGCAAACTTACAAATTGTACTTGAGCGCTAAAAGTTTTTAGTAAAACGATATTAGAGAAATGCAAATGGATATTGATTCAACTACCTGAAAAATACAAGCCTTCGCTCGAAACGTCAACGTTTTACTTGTATTTTTCAGATAGTTGAATCCATCTGTATTTCTCTGATGTTTTTGTTACTACCTATACGCTGGCACCAGGCTGGCACTGACCGTTAGCCGAGGGTGGGTTTGGACTCGTACCGTAACGCATTGTAACTTGTCTCGTATATGATTTTTTCTGTGTTGGTGTAATGTACTCAAGTGAATATGATGCTTGTGAATTGTGATGTTACTCTGAGTGTATATCCACACCGGGCAAGCTTCAAAAATATACCCGCTGACCACGGTGGGAATCGAACCTTGTCGTATATATTGTTAAGGTCCAGACACACCGGACGCGAATAAAGGTCCAGACACACCGGAAGTTAATAAAACAGCCAATGAGAGCAAATTTTAAAAGATATGTAGACCAAATAACTCAAAATGTTCTAACGCTTCCAAATATTTGGAAAATTTAAATTAGGATCAAAGTTATCGTTCAGTGAAAATCGAAAAATCGAAAAATCGCGTCGCGTTGTCGAATCGCGTCCGGTGTGTATGGACCTTAAAGACCCACACAGACCGAACGCGATTCGGCAACGCGACGCGAATTTTCAGTTTTCAAAAACAAATAAAACCGTCAACGGATAAAAATTTTACAAGATATGCAGACCAAATAGCTAAAATTGCTTAAGTGGTTCCAAATATCTGAAAAACATTGAAAAATATTAAAGTTAAATGTCATTGAAAACTGAAAATTCGTGTCGCGTTGCCAAATCGCGTCCGGTTTTGTATGGGCCTTAAGGAGTAAAATAACTTAGTTCTGCACTTCACCTGGTGGAATTAATATTAGGATGTTAGGGTTTGTAATCCAAGTGAGAATATATACATTTTAAGACCTAACCAGGAACGACTGCGAAAAATGCAGCACAAGGTCCTCTGGTAGGAATCGAACCTACGGCTCTGCGATTCCGGAGCAGCGCTCTAACCAACTGAGCTACACTCAGGCCAGCTGTACTCATCCTCTCTTAAGGCCGGATTCCACGAGGCGGAATTTTTCGACCGAAACGAAATTTCTCTTTGTCTTTTTACAATTAGTTCTGCTCGAGAGCTCTGAAACAAAGAGAAATTTCGATTCGGTCGAAAAATTTCGCCTAGTGGAAAACCGCCTTTAAGGAGTAAAGCCCATTTTCCACTTGGCGAATTTTGTTCGTGCGAACAGTAAAAAAGTAGGAACTGATCCAACTTTTTCGCGTCGAATTTTTTCGCTGACCAACACATTGCAAATTCGCCTAATGGAAAATGCGCTTAAAACTTAAAAGGAGTGAAAACGCGTGAGCGAATACAAAAAATCCTTATTAAGAAATTTGAGGCAACCTCACAGTTAGATGACACGAGTCGACTTGTATAGCACGCAAGTCTATGGAGAATAGCAAATTGCATCAAAACAAAATGATTTAAACGACTCTAGGATGCGAACACGCGGTAGGCCACGAAAGTTTTAGGTCAGATTTCATGGGATACTAAACGTGATAAGATAAAATTTGATTTTGGGAGCCATATAATTAGCATTGCAAGAAAGCTTAATCAAGTCTACTCAAGACCCAATGTATCAGTGACGGTCGGCTCTACAGTTTCAGATTCGCAGTTTCAGATTCACATTCAGATTCAAATATGAAAATAGATCAGGTGTCTGGCGTATAAAATGTCGAATTACTCAGTTTCTTTCTACGCAATAAACTTGTTAACGAATTTCATTCTTCTTCAGAACATTACGCATTGAACAAATGTATTTTGAAGGCTTTAGCGCAAAATGTGAAGTCAGGAAAAATCGCAAAAGATAGACGATCAAGACATGAATTCATGCTGCGCCATATTGTCGCAAGTGATCGGCAATATTATATTTCCCTGTCTAAAGCAAAATACCCGTTGTAGCTCCCTAATCTCTGAAATCCATTCACTACTACATTATACTGAATGGTATAAAGTAAACAAGATCCTGAAAACGTTTGTCGTTTTGTCAGGAAAAATCGCAAAACGTAGCTGACGCGAACCGGCTTTTGTAACCCGAAGCGAATGACAACAACGCAGCTGAGAGAATAAATCCTTCTCACGCATCACACGTTTACATTGAAATATTTTCCAGCAAAACCATTCTACTACAACTATCATAGAATAATATAACACACTCGTTAGCTTCAAACAACTTCTAGTTTCAGCAGGAAAAATCGCAAAAGACAACTCGTTGGAACTCGTGCTGCACTCAAAAATCCGGGTGGCCATTGGAACTCTTTTGCAAGTCCGCTCAGTCTGATATAATGCATTTTTTACTTACTTGTAGATCCATGCCAACATATATAAAAAATTGTAATGTTTAGCCGTATTTTTTTCCGCGGAAAAAGTACTTGAAATCGTTTTATATGTAGAATGATAGAATGACTGACCCCCCGGATTTTATTGTTCCATATTGAAATTTCCCGTAGTTTCACATTCATTTTCAGATTCGCACTAAAACAGTGATAATCTGCACAAATCGCTAAACCACTGCAACAGTTTTAATGCAGCCCATACCGTAAAGATTTCCATTCATCTACATTATTGTGCGCTTCATTTGACGCGGTTTTCATTGCGATACACCGTTGTGTGCGTGCAGGAAAAATCGCAAAAGACAGACGATCAAGACGTGAATTCACGCTGCGCCATATTGTCACAAGTGACCGGCAATATTATATTTCGCTGTGTAAAGCAAAATACCTGTTGCAGCTCCCTAATCTCTAAAATTCATTCATTACAACATTATAGTGAATGGCATAAAGTAAACTAGATCTTAAAACCGTTTGTCGTTTTGTCAGGAAAAATCGCAAAACGTAGCTGACGCGAACCGGCTTTTGTAACCCGAAGCGAATGACAACAACGCAGCTGAGAGAATAAATCCTTCTCACGCATCACACGTTTACATTGAAATATTTTCCAGCAAAACCATTCTACTACAACTATCATAGAATGATATAACGCACTCGTTAGCTTCAAACAACTTCTAGTTTCAGCAGGAAAAATCGCAAAAGACAACTCGTTGGAACTCGTGCTGCACTCAAAAATCCGGGTGGCCATTGGAACTCTTTTGCAAGTCCGCTCAGTCTGATATAATGCATTTTTTCTTAATTGAAGATGTATGCCAGCATATTTAAAATTTATAATGCTTGGTCATATTTTTTCGCGGAAAAAGTACTTGAAATCGTTTTATATGTAGAATGATAGAATGACTGACCCCCCGGATTTTATTGTTCCATATTGAAATTTCCCGTAGTTTCACATTCATTTTCAGATTCGCACTAAAACAGTGATAATCTGCACAAATCGCTAAACCACTGCAACAGTTTTAATGCAGCCCATACCGTAAAGATTTTCATTCATCTACATTATTGTGCGCTTCATTTGACGCGGTTTTCATTGCGATACACCGTTGTGTGCGTGCAGGAAAAATCGCAAAAGACAGACGATCAAGACGTGAATTCATGCTGCGCCATATTGTCACAAGTGATTGGCAATATTATATTTCGCTGTGTAAAGCAGAATACACGTTGTAACTCCCTAATCTCTAAAATTCATTCATTACTACATTATACTGAATGGTATAAAGTAAACTAGATCTTGAAAACGTTTGTCGTTTTGTCAGGAAAAATCGCAAAACGTAGCTGACGCGAACCGGCTTTTGTAACCCGAAGCGAATGACAACAACGCAGCTGAGAGAATAAATCCTTCTCACGCATCACACGTTTACATTGAAATATTTTCCAGCAAATCCATTCTCCTACAACTATCATAGAATGATTTAACGCACTCGTTAGCTTCAAGCAACTTCTGGTTTCAGCAGGAAAAATCGCAGAAGACAACTCGTGTTCGACTAAAAAATCTGGATGGGCATTGGAAGTCTCCTGCTGGTCCGCTTAGTCTGATACAAGTGCATTCAGTTTTCATAATAGTGGATCTATGCCAGCATATTTAAAACTAGTGACTTATAATGCTTGGCCGTATTGTTTTCACGGAGAAAGAGTTTGAAATCGCTCTGTCATGTGTAATAATATGAAGGGATTTGAATGTGTGAGCGATTATCTGCTCTTATATACACTCAAAACCCGGCAAATGAGATCTAATTTATGCAACCTAAAGCAAAACAAAAACCAAGACCATTCAACAGGAAATTGGCCAAACGAAATGTTACCCACTTTTGCAGAAAAAGCCTTACTCGGCAAAAATTGTACGAGGATTTTTGGAACATTTTTTTTTTTATTTTTGAATTTTTTTTATTTTTAGAGACTTTTTATTTTTTGATTCTTTGGTTTTTTGGACACATGCATCTTTGGGACGACGCAAGTTAAGCTTATATATAGCCTTTAAAATGTCGTTGTAGAAGACAATAAAGTTTATTATGTAACATTATAATTAGATATTTAAATCTTGATATTCATTGGCTTATGTTTCATGGGGTTGGGTGTCATATCTCGCCATGTGCTCGTATCTTGTACGGACAACATGCAAATATCTATGAGGTTGTAATTATAACATTGCATTATTTTTAATAAATAACTGTACACAAAGCAAGCATTCCATCGTTTTTATATGGAGCCCGATGGAATATCATGAAAATCATGAGTAAAAATTCGCTGTATCAGGTACGTGCGTTTTAAGTCGTAGACAGTTAACTGACTTAACTGGCAAGTGTCTTTAAAGATAGCGTGTCGGTGAACTCTGTTATGACATTTGTTACCAAGGATAAGGTAAATTTTTATTATATTCGCTAGTAGCTACAAATCCCAACAATTATTTTTAAGGTTTTTTAACTTGTTGCCTTATTCAAACAGTCGACGTCTATAACTGTGCGGGTTCTCAGACAACACGCTTGTCACTGTTAAGCCCGTTTTTCACTACGGGTAATTTTCCGCGCGGAGCGACATTTTGCATTGTCGGCATCGCTTGTCACGTCAGCGAAAGAAAAAAGCGATCGGCAATGCCCAACTGAATATTTAACCGAAATTCTTCATATTACACATTCGAACTTCGAACCAAAGTCAAGAGCGCAGCATGAGATGGTCGGGAGGCAAATATAACTAAACAAATGTTATGACGCAATTAAGAAAACTTTAATGCATGTACAAAACACCTAGTAATCCGACAAAAAACATGCTCTCACACATTGCCAAACACTTGCTGAGTTCATAATCGGTTCAACAATTAATTAAGCTTTATGTCTTGCGTATAAGCCGTAATTCTAGCTGCTTTGAATTGATTTCTGCTCTATGTGATCAAGTTATAAATTCGTTTCGTAGCGATTGACATTCCACTAGGCGGAAAGCACCACTTAAAGATTAATATTGTCGGAGATTGCCTTACGTCTACGAGATTTCCCTTGATTTACATAAACTTTAATTTTGATTTTCTCGGCTTACACAACGTATTTTTTTGACAATTACTTCAGCAATGGACTTATTGGATCGATCGTTTTTGAAGCAATTTATAAGGAGGCTCCCTTATGTCCAGTGGCGAAACTAGCCCCTTTTAATTGGGGGGGTCTGGTAGAATTGCCCTGCGAAAGCCAATGATGCCCCGCAGCAAAAATTTTCTTTGGCCACTATTTCTCCCAAAAATGTTGGCGAGCGGGGGCCGGGGAGGTCGAAAAAATTTTTTCCGGACATAAACCAATTAAATTAAGGGTCAAAATTTTTTTCGGACAAGACTGTTCAAACATGCATGAAACCCTTATTTTTTACTAATATCTGTAAAATTTAGGTCTATAAATGTTATTCAATTCCCTCTGGAAGCCCTGGAATCTACTTAATAACTCTACATTCTATCATTTAAAATCTTTCATTGCCCTGCCAATCCAGATGATTTGCCCTGCCAATCCAGGTGATTTGTACTTTGGGGGGAGGGGGTGTCACACCCCCACACCCCCCTCAAGTTTCGTCCCTGCTTATGTCAGTGTTTTAAACTAAAACCGATTCAATTAATTTGAATCTAAAAAAACCTAATTTTTTGCACAAGCCATTGTTTCCTCTTATATAAGAGAGTAATTTTACAAGCCATTGTTTCCTCTTATATAAGAGAGTAATTTTAACCCACAATCGGTACTCTTCACGTTACCATGACAACATGACGTCACCACCTATGTGGCCTATATATACCAACCGAAAAAGCCGTCTTAGCGGACGAATAACCACGGTGACCTACCTTTTTTATTGCAGAAAATAAATTTTTATGAAGTTTTGAATCTTTTTTAAGGTTATTTGACAACCGCCAGTGTATTTTTCGAGAAACTGAATTTCAACCTTTGAGATTGCATTTTAGCATTTGGAAAGGCTGAAATTCAATTTCTCGAAACTACACTGGCGGATTTTGAAATAACTTTCAGAAAAGATTCAAAACTTCATAACAATGTTTTTTTCTTATAAAAAAGGTAGGTCACCGTGGTTATTTGTCCGCTAAGACGGCTTTTTTGGTTGAAATAGGCCATATAGGTGGTGACGTCATGTTGTCATGGCAACATGAAAAGTAGCGTTTGTGGGTCAAAAATTATTCTTTTATATAAGAGAAAACAATGACTTGTGCAAAAAATTAGATTTTTTTAGATTCAAATTAATTAAATAGGTTTTAGTTTAAAACACTGACCTGATATTGGAAACTGTAGGGAGCCTCCTTAAAACATTCGCATGTGCTTGGTTTTATCAGACCTAAAGATACTCGGCTTCGCCTTGTATCTTTATCAGATAAAACACTGCTGCTCATGTTTAAAACAGTACTTCAAAATTAAAACTCTGACCACCGGCACTGTTCTGTATTGCAGATATAAAGATGTTTGCATATTTAAATTAAATATGGCGCACTGGCACATGCAAGTTTTCCGTAACAGTCGCTCACGTGAGCGTTATGTGTATTCGAAGTCTCAATCTGAATGTGTTCGCCGACGTCGATCGCGATGTCCGTCAGGCAGAAAAAGTGCAAAAGATCGGAAATTGGTTAGATTACTTGTGTACAAGAGAAGATTGGAGGACGAAATACTGCGTAAATGGAGTCAGAAATGGGAAAATAGCGCGGGAAAAAATGAAGCCATTCTGTTGGGTGGTGGGCGTGGAAGACCAACAAAACAAGTCTCTAAAATATTTGATGTAAAAAAGTTTGTGGCGATAGTTACTGAAAGTATGGAAATGGATTTTAAAAGCAAAAAAGAAATGTGGGAATCGATTGCACAAGAGTATTATGGAGCAATTAGAGTGGATAAAAAGAAAATAGACAAATTGCGATTAATTTGGAGAAGCAATGATTACAATGTCCAAGAAAAAAGACTCAAGATAAAGTCAAAGTTTCGACAGCAAACGGTCTCAAACGAAAGTTACGTGCCTGGAATTTTATATCAGAAAGCCACTTCCGACAGTTCAGACACTGCTCACACTGAGAATGCTGTAAACAAAGCAGAGAGAAGTGGAAAAAATATTTCAATAAATTACAGATGTAGCTCTGAATCTCATTCTGGCGAGTGTACGTTAACTGATTTCTTTGGAAATGTGTTTGGTCGCGCGGTATCCTATGCCTATAAAGATCACATGCGTGACAGGGGCGGATCCAGCTAAAAATCTGACTGTAGCATAATCCCAAACTGAAGAGGCACCACGTAATCTAGGGGGGTCCGGGGGCATGCCCCCCTGGAAAATTTTTGAAATTTGAAGCCCGGAAACACCATTTCCTGCATTCTGAGCATCGAATTCTGTTCTAAAATTTGACCTTAATAAGGCCATATTTTAGACAAAAAGTTACAAAAACACGTAAATTAAAGACAGTAAAATGGTTAAACGACATACCAAATCATACCAGATCTACATTCTTATTACTGTATGCAAGTTTAAGACCAGCCTTCCTCCCCATATTAATATGTAATTTAATATCATACCGCACATGTGTAACATATATAAACACAATTACAATCAATGCATATAAAATCAATGGGCAGAACGATATATAACGCAAACAGACACATTTATATACTGAAAGAAACCTTCGGATTAACAGAGATTCAACCACTAAAATATACAAGCCAAATTTCGATGTTTTGCTTGTATTTTTGAGTTACGGTAATTCAGTATTAAAACGTACCCTGTATCTCTCAATCCGAAGCTTTGTGTTGTTATATTAATTTACCAGTGTGGAAAGTTTGTATCGCGCGGCGGAAATATCGGACGCGCAATTTTGATGCTTTCTATATATTTACTATTAAATTTTCGAAATCTCCGGCGCGCAATTTCCAAACACTGGCACGGAGCGTTTATATTTATATTCTGTTTATTAATATAATATATTCTAATATCCATAAGCTAGCTTACCTGACCCGAACGTGGTTCAACAGCGCGCTCTTTCACCGTTTCGAATTGTAATTTCGAAAAATCACACACAAATACCTCGCGATCTTTCAGGTGATCGGCCTTAACTTTGCTCCCGACGGCATCCTCACATAGCGCTTACTTAGTTTTTCTTCGAAAGAAATTGGCTCGGTAAAAGCGCAAACAAATATAGCCAAATAACATCGCTCTAAAGTTCCTATCGAAATGCGCAACTGTAGCTGACTGCAGCTGACTGTAGCGCATTGCAGCACTGTGATTGGTTTGCTTCATCTGACTGTAGCAAAAATGCTAAATTTAGTAACTCGTCCCCCCGCTGACTGTAGCATTTTGACGTAAGACCCCCAGTTGACTGTAGCATTTTGACGTCATAAATCGCTATATTTAGACCACTTTTCTGAACGCTTTTTGAACGATGTTTAAAAAATTTAGGTGATTTCCCCTAAGGTGATTTCCCCATAGAGAAACTTAGGTGATTTCCCCATAGAGAAACAGGAAAACTTCTATAAGGAATTTTTACTATCACCATGCACATTCAGTATTAAAAATATTTTTGCACGAAAATCTGACTGTAGCATTTGCTACAGTTGCTACAGTCTGGATCCGCCCCTGCGTGATAGCGTTTTCCCTTGTGGTGCGGAATCGGATAGTACTCATGAGCTTTGCGACACTAATGATAAGAATGTGGTTCCATCGTGCAAACCTTCTACCACATTAGCTGAGGAATCTGAATGTTCGCAACAAGAAAGTGACACGGATTTACTTTGTTCAAATGACTCTGAAGGACCTACAGATAATAGTCGAACTAATGTTGAAAAGCCAGATGACTATGTCTACGACGTTGCTATTGATCAATGTCAATGTTACAGTTCTCTAAAGGACGATGAAAACGAAAACTTCCTTCGAACACCACATCTTCTGCGATTTTTCCTGCTGAAACTAGAAGTTGTTTGAAGCTAACGAGTGCGTTATATTATTCTATGATAGTTGTAGTAGAACGGTTTTGCTGGAAAATATTTCAATGTAAACGTGTGATGCGTGAGAAGGATTTATTCTCTCAGCTGCGTTGTTGTCATTCGCTTCGGGTTACAAAAGCCGGTTCGCGTCAGCTACGTTTTGCGATTTTTCCTGACAAAACGACAAACGTTTTCAGGATCTTGTTTACTTTATACCATTCAGTATAATGTAGTAGTGAATAGATTTCAGAGATTAGGAAGCTACAACGGGTATTTTGCTTTAGACAGGGAAATATAATATTGCCGATCACTTGCGACAATATGGCGCAGCATGAATTCACGTCTTGATCGTCTATCTTTTGCGATTTTTCCTGACTTCACATTTTGCGCTAAAGCCTTCAAAATACATTTGTTCAATGCGTAATGTTCTGAAGAAGAATGAAATTCGTTAACAAGTTTATTGCGTAGAAAGAAACTGAGTAATTCGACATTTTATACGCCAGACACCTGATCTATTTTCATATTTGAATCTGAATGTGAATCTGAAACTGCGAATCTGAAACTGTAAAGCCGACCGTGTATCAGTGTACAGTATCATCATCGAATTTTTCAGTACTGGGCATCATATCACAAGTGTTAGAATATCAATTGCATGGCTTTGCTGATGCTAGCAAGAAACCGTATTCAGCTGTTATCTACTGTAGATTTGGATGCAGAACCGAAGAGAGTGGAAACAATTCGTTGAGTGAATGAAATTTTACAATTAAGCTCTAGATTAACAATCATGAGCCTTTCAACTACCTTCTAACTTAAGATAGATACTGATGGGGTCGTGGTGATTTTTTACGATGACGTCGATTTTTTTTTCGTCTGTTTAATTTCCCAACTGACTAACATACTAATAAGGCCGCGGTCACAAATAAATTTATTCGTAAAGAAAGAATTGAAATAAATATTAGCGGCCTATCTTTATATCAGTCGGGAAACGAAGAAACGACACGCGGGCATCAGCAATAGCCGGTGTTTATTAAAAATCTCAAAATTAAGAATAAGAATTCAAATCAAAGTCATATTAGACATCGCGGCTCGGCATGGCTCAATCTCTCACGCAATGATCTATTAGCAATTTAGATTTAATCCAAGCCTTAGCCGCACTGTCTGTATCATCTTTCCACCTACCTGTATTCATTGTTCAAAGCCTCAAAGGCAGTTTTCTCATTCAAAGTGAAATATACAAACTCAATCGTTTTTAGTTTCGCATTTGAGTTGTCGACGTTACTACGAAACTGACCTGTTATTGTGGTCGGCAAACACTCAGATTGCACGCATGAATAATACTATTTATTAATTTACATGTAACACCACGAAATAATTAAATAAACATGAATAAGTAAGTGTTACGGGGACAGAGGCTATTTTTAAAATTTGGCAAAATGGAAAGAACATTTCGGGCTTGACACCAAATCTATTGAATCAGTTTAGCTTATTTAGCTTTAGTATCGATAAGGAGGATTTTCCAATTTTTTGGATAACTGCCTTCACTCCTCGGTTTGTTTTGGCGCGAAACGTGAGAGGTCCGTAACGAGTTTGACTAATGGTCGAGGGTCGAGGGTAATAGGTCGAGGGCGAGGGTAGAATGTCGAGGGTCGAAAAAAATGTCGAGGGTCGAAAAAAATGTCGAGGGTCAATTTTTTGACTCTATAATTTGTTCGCAAATTTTTAGTAACAGAATCAAATACTTACCATTGCACATACGTATCACAATTAATTAATTTGCTTTAGCCCAACGTCAATGTTTTATCCCTATTATGGAATTTGCCATGGCGCAGAGTAAGTATGCTTCGCTATTAAACGCAAAGTTTAGTTTGAGTATATGTTTTATACGCCGATGTATACTAACGAATAAACCCTATTTTGATCATTATGAAGTTAATAACTGATCAAATTTCGATCGCTGCAGTCAAAAGGCGCCGCTTCACATGCCATTTGATAAACATAACATAACCCTTTGCGACCTTTGTGCACTCATGATTTCAGCAATCATTACGACCACAAAAGCGATATATAGTACTGTATAGCTATGTTTCCCGCATGATCTAGAAACCCACGACTAAACACTAATGTCGTATAAAATAATTTGTAAAGCCGTGATTTTCTAACTAACAGTATTTTCTGCATCGTGGCAAACGTTGACAGATGGCCAATTGTCTTATGTGCATGCCTACGGCAGCAAACATTTTTCGCACAGATTATTTTCTGCTCATGTTGTAATTTCTCCTATGGCTCCTATCGTCTGCGCGAATTTGATTACTGCACGAATTTGAATACAAGTATTACTCCATGCATGGCTGGGGAATATAAAACCGGAAAATATTTCAACATTAATTTTTATTAATAGTGATATTTTCCTGGGTTAGTTATGCCTCATCGGCGCAACAAATTCGCAGCAAAATGAAAAATAACACTGACACGTCGAAATGTCACCCCGGATGTCGGGATTTGCTTTCAGTTCTGGATCAAAACTTGCGAGAAATTGTCATTCGAACCTTACTTGCGATTAAACTTTGGTTAACGCATACACGTGCAGACGAGCTTTCTCTTAAAAACGTCTTCAGTTGCCGCATTGCTGTAAGGTATAAAACTTGTGTGAAATGGAAGTACTTCAGAGCAGAATAGAAGAGGCTGGACTAAAGATTTCGTATAAACCTCCCAGCGATG